GACGGCAGCTAAGGGGTTAAAAGGGGAAGAAAGGCCCCCCGTCCCACGGCCCAGGTGGGACACAGGTGACATAAAGGTGGGACACAGGTGTGATACAGGAGGGGTTCAGAGGAGATACAGCTGTGCCCCAGCTGTGCCCCAGCTGTGCCAGAGGTGGAATACAGGTGTGACAGACATGACACACAGCTGTGCCAGCTGCCCCCCAGGTACCCCAGCTGCCCCAGGTAGCCCAGGTGCGCCCCAGGTGGCCGTGGCTCACCCAGCTGCCCCCCAGCTGCCCCGCAGGTGCCCCCCAGCTACCCCAGCTGCCCCCAGGTGTCCCCACGTACCCCCAGCTGTCCCCCAGGTAACCCCAAGTACCCCAGGTGTGCCCGGTGGCTGCACTCACCCAGCTGCCCCCCAGGTCCCCCAGCTGCCCCAGGTGTGCCAAGTGGCTGTGGCTCACTGACCTGCCTCCCAGGTACCCGCAGGTACCCCCAGCTGTTCCCAGCTGCCCCCCGGGTGCCCCAGCTGCCCCCCGGGTGCCCGGCTCACCCCACGGGCACAGGAAGCGCACGTGGTAGTTGGCGCAGGCGGTGCCCGCCGGCTGCTCGCGGTGCAGGCAGCGGAAGCCGCGCCCGGGGCTGGCATGGACCACCTGGCCCAGCGCCGCGGGCAGCTGCCAGCCCGTGCTGCGCGCCTCGATGGCCACGGGCCGGGCGCACACCCGGTCCCCGTAGTAGAACCTGATGGCCGCCAGGCTCTCGTGGTCACCGTCCCCGCCCGGGTGGTCGATGTTGAACCACGACGTCCACGCGGCGCCTTTGCCTGAGGGGGAGGCGGGGACGGCTTGGGGACGGCTTGGGGATGGCTTGGGGACAGCTTGGGGACAGATTGGGATGGTTGGGGACAACGGGGGATGGTTTGGGATGGGTTGGGGATGGGTTGGGGATGGTTGGGGATAGCTTGAGATGGTTGGGGACAGCAGGGGGATGGTTGGGGATGGTTGGGGACAGCTTGGGACAGTTGGGGACAGCTTGGTGATGGTCGGGGACAGCTTGGAGATGGGTTGGGGATGGTTGGGGACAGTTTGGGGACAGCTTGGGATGGTTGGGGACAGGTTGGAGATGGTTAAGAACAGCTTGGGGACAGCTTGGGGACAGATTGGAGGTGGTTTGGGACAGCTTGGGGACAGCTTGAGGATGGTTGGGGACAGTTTGGGAATGGTGTGGGACAGTTTGGGATGGTCAGGATGGTCGAGGACAGCTTGGGGACCGAAGGGCAGAGGGTGTGGGGATGGAGGGTCACCACTGAAGGGTGGCCCCCAGGGGACACGGTGGCCCTCGGGGTGGCACCTGCCGTGCCCAGGTCCAGCTCCTCCAGCTCGGCCGTGCCTTTCCGGGGCTTCCCGGCCGTGCCAGCCTTGCCCGGCTCCGAGTCGTTCTCCAGCGGCTCTGGGGACACAGGGGTGGCACTGCCACATTGCCGGGGTCCCTCCCCAGCCCTGTCCCCTGCCCTGAGCCCCCCAGTCCCGGGGGACAGCATTTACCATGTCCCCAAGGCCAGGCTGGGGTGTCACCGAGGGTGGGCCTGGTGTCCTGGCAGCCAGGGGTGGCCCTGGGTGGCCTTGGGTGACCCCAAATCCCAAACCCAAACCCCAAACCCCAATCCCAAACCCCAATCCTAAATCCCAATCCCATACCTCAATCCCAAACCCCAAACCCCAAATCCCAAACAAATCCCAAACCAAAAACCAAAACCCTAATCTCAAACCCAAACCCCAGTCCTGAAACTGCTGGCCTCAAAACCCCAAACCCAAACCCAAACTCCAAACCGGAAACTGCTGACCCTAATCCCCAAACCCCAACTCCCAAATCCCAAACCCCAAACCCCAAACCCCAAACCCAAACCCAAACCCAAAACTGCTGACCCTAATCCTCAAACCCCAAACCCCAAACCCCAAACCCCAAATCCCAAACCCAAACCCAAACCCAAAACTGCTGACCCTAATCTTCAAACCCCAAACCCCAAATCCCAAACCCAAACCCAAACCCAAAACTGCTGACCCTAATCCTCAAACCCCAAACCCCAAACCCCAACTCCCAAACCCCAAACCCCAAATCCCAAACAAACCCCAAACCCCAAACCCAACCCCCGCCCCCAGTCCCTTACCTGCCGCCCTGGCTGCGTGCGGGGCTCCCAGCACCGCCAGCAGTGCCAGCACCTGTGCCAGCTGTGCCAACCGTGCCACCCGTGCCATCTGCGCCAGCGGTGCCACCCGTGCCACCCGTGCTGGCCGTGCCGACTGTGCCGGCCGTGCCATCTGTGCCAGCAGTGCCGTCTGTGCCATCCGTGCCAGCTTTGCCGTCTGTGCCAGCCCTGCCAGCTGTGCCACCCGTGCCAGCGGTGCCAGCCCTGCCAGAGGTGCCATCTATGCCAGCAGTGCCATCTGTACCACCCGTGCCAGCAGCGTCAGAGGTGCCACCAGTGCCACCAGTGCCACCCGTGCCAGCGGTGCCAGCGGTGCCAGCCGTGCCCGGCGCTCGGCGCTCAGTGCCGCCGCCGCGGCTCCGCCGCCGCTTTTATCGGTGCCGGCCCCGGGGCCGCTCCCGGAGCCGCCGCGGGCGCGGAGCCCGCCCGGGGATCGTGCCCAGCGCTAAAATTGGCCGCGCTGGGGAATGCGGCTGAGGGAGGGAAGGGAAACAAAAACACGTGGGGAGGGAAAAGCAAAAGGTGCGGGGGAAATGAAAATGTGGGGGGATAAAATGGGGGGGGAAAAATAAAAAAAGGGGAAATAAAAGTACAGGGAAAATAAAATAAGGGGGATAAAATTACAGGGAAAATGAAATAAGGGGAAATAAAGGTACAGGGGAAATAAAAATACGGAGAAAATAAAAACTGAAAAGTACAGGGAAAGTAAAAGTACAGGGAAAATAAAACCACAGGAAATATAAAACCTGAAAAGGCACCGGGAAAATAAAAACACGGGGAAAACAAAACTGCGGGAAAAAGGAAAAGAAGGAGCCGATTCCGCTCCGAGGGGCTGGAGGGGACTGGGGGGCACTGGGGGGGCACTGGGGGTCACTGGGGGTCACTGGGGGGCACTGGGGGTCACTGGGGGTCACTGGGGGCATTGTGGGCAGCACCGAGGGCACGGGGAGGGCACCGGGGGCACCGGGGGCACCGGGGGGGTTTGGGATGAGCGGCCCCGGGAGCGGCGGAAATCCCGGCGCGTTCCCGGCATTCCGGCGGCTCCGAGCGCCCCCGGGCCGGGGCAGCGCGGGGACACGGGGGACACGGGGGACACGGGGGACAGTGCCGGGGGACACAGGGGACACTCCCCAGGGGACACGGGGGACACGGGGGACAGTGCCCGGGGGACACACAAGGGACAGACCCCGGGGGACACAGGGGACAGTGCCCGGGGGTGGCTCGTCACCCTCAGGGACACCCCCGTGCTCTGGGGGTGGCTCCCGTGTCCCTTTCCTGGGTCTTGGTGGCATTTGGTGGCGTTTTGGTGGCGTTTTGGTGGCACTGTCGCCGTGGGTGGGTGGCAGGGGAGGTGACACGGCTCTGTCCCCAGCAGCGGGGTGGTGGCACTGCCG